GCAACCCTCGGCGTTGCTCCCGCACCTCGCTCAGCCAGTGAGCGGGAACCGGTCTATATGTGGGATCCGAACCCTCGGCGGGAGCCCCGCCGCACTTCCCAAGCGGTGCACTAACGCAGTGCGCCACCGGGCCGGCCCTCTTTCTTTTTTTTTTAAAGATGACCGGTAAGGGGATCTTAACCCTTGACTTGGTGTTGTCAGCACCACGCTCAGCCAGTGAGCAACCGGCCATCCCTGTATAGGGACCCGAACCCGTGGCCTTGGTGTTGTCAGCACCACACTCTCCCAAGTGAGCCACGGCCGGCCCGTGTTTCCTTTAAACAACAGAAATTTCTTGTCTCACGGTTCTGGAGGCTAGAAGCCTAAAATCAAGGAGTCAGCTGGGTTGGTTTGTGTTAGTACCATAGCCTGAGTGGCTTATAAACAGAAATTTATTTCTCATGGTTCTGGAAGCTGAGTCCAAGATCAAAGTGCTGAGAGATTCAGTGTCTAGAGAGGGTCCATTTTCTGGATCATCGACTGCCATCTTTTAGCTGTGTCCTCACATGGTGGATGGGGTACACGAGTGTTCTGGGATCCCTTTTATAAGGGCACCAATCCCATCATGAGGCTCCTCCCTTATGACCTAACCACCACCTACAGGCCCAAATCCTAACACCATCCTTTTGGAGGTGAGGATGTCAGCCCAGGAATTTTGGGTGGCCGTCTGCTCCCTGTGTCTCTTCACGTTGCCTTCCCTCTGTGTGTGTCTCTGTGTCCAAACTTCCACTTTTTTTTTTTTTTTAAAACAAGATGACCAGTAAGGGGATCTTAACCCTTGGCTTGGTGTTGTCAGCAGCACGCTCTCCCAAGTGAGCTAACCGGCCATCCCTATATAGGATCCAAACCCGGGGCCTTAGTGTTCTCTTTCTATTTTTAACCAACTTTTTATTTTGGCGGCTGGCTGGTAGGGGGACACGAAGACTTGACCTTGGTGTTATCAGCACCATGCTTCCCCAAGTGAACTAACCACCAGCCCACCATTTTTAAGAGTACAGGTCAGTCATGTTGAGTATATTCACATTATTGTAAAAGAGATCTCCAGAACTTTTTTATCTTGCAAATCTGAAACTCTGTACCCATTAAACAACATCTTCCCATTACCCCCTTCCCCAGCTCCTGGCACCCACCAGTCTAACTTTCCATCTCTATGAATTTGACTACTCTACAGAGGTCATATAAGTGCAGTCATACAGTACACACTTTTTTGTGCCTGGCTTATTTCCCTCAGCATAATGTCATCAAGGTTCATCCATGTTGCAGCATGTGTCAGGATTCCTCCCTTCCTTTTTAAGGCATAATATTCCATTTTATGGACAGGCCACATTTTGCTTATCTGTTCATCGGTTGGACACCTGAGTTGCAGACTTGGGTGGCTCCACCTGTCAGCTGTTGTGAATAGTGCTGCTGTGAAAGTGGGTGTGCATGTATCTGCTCACATCCCTCTTTTCAGTTCTTTGGGTATATACCCAGAAGTGGAATCACTTGGTCATATGGTAATTCTAATTTCACTTTTTGAGGAATGGGGACTTCCCTTTGAGTTTGCATTAATCCCCTATTTGTAGCATGCCCCCTCCCCCCCGCAGCTGGGAGGTAGCAGAATGGCAGACCCTTGGTTGGGCAGAGTCTGAAGAGACTTTCACAGAGGGCCTGGAAAGTTCCACCTCGGGGGAGGGATCGTCCTGTTGGGGTGGGGGGCGATGGGCATCGCCCACTTCTGCCCTCCCCGCAGGCCTCCCACAGGCTTCCTGCTGGCTTTCTCCTGATGGTCACCACTGTCCAGTCTCCTGTATCGAGTTGATGGCCCTCCTCTGCTGGCGCCTCTTCTTTTGTCTTATGGATTCATGAGCATTGTTTTACCCCTAAATCTCCCTATGAGCATGTTAGGAGGGGCTGTGGGGGTGGGGGAGGCGTGGAGCTGCCCCCGAGTCTCGCCATCCTGGAGGCTCCCAACGGAGCGGCTGTGCCTCCCGACAGGTGCTGGGAGGCGTTGTCCAGGTACTGAGCCACAGTGCAAAGCCACGCGCCCGCGCTGGGAGCTCGCGCCGGAGAAGGGGAGGCTGGCGCTGACTATGCTTTACACAGCGGCCCCGCCCCAGCCGCAGGGAGAGAAGGGGGTCCGCGCGGGCTGGGCAGGGGCGAAGGGGAGCCGATGCGGGACCCGCTGCCCTGTCCCCGCAGGTGAGCA